TAGGACTCATTCAGTAATGGGGTAAATGAGGTAAAGAAGCACTGGGTGTAAGGTCTATACAATGTTGTATATCCCTTAATGGTGGTAGCCCTGTAGGATATGTTGTGAGTTCATGAAAATCATTGAGAAATTGTGTGACTTCTGGATGGTTGGTTGTTGGGAAAGATTGATGTGAATCCCCTTTTAACTACTAAAGCCCACACCACATAATATTCCTTTTGTAAAAAGGATTTGCCATTAATGAGGGAGAACAACTGTTTGGATGAACATGTGGTATCTTTCTTACCTTTAGAATCCAAACTAGATGGTAATACGACAATTTTCTTGCCCGTCCAATTGAATTCATGTATTCACGAGGGGGGGTTCCATGTCTAGATCATAATGATCCTCATCTTCAACCAAAGCTAAGGCTCGTCGTTGAGGACATTCATTTCATAGATGACCCACCTGCCCACAACAGAAACACTTCCCTAGAGTAGGTCGATCATATTGATTAGTACCTCGTTTTGTGGTAGTTTCGGTAGGCTCTGAGGCAAGGTCTTGGTGACATCATCAGCTTTAGCCGCATAGAAGTAGAGGCGCCACCTAGAGTAAGAAGTTTCCCCGAAACACTGTCTGCAAGTTTGGAACTCACCGATTTATCCCAGTTGGTATGGTGGAATGGTGTCCTTGATCTTTTCTTGTCTATCTTTTCTTCAATCTTTGTGGCCATGAAAATGGCATCAGACAGTAACCCAATAGGTTCAGTATCCATCTGATCTTGGATATCATCACGTAGGCCATCAATGAAACGGGCAATCTTATAGTCTTCTGATTCAGCAAAATTGGTTCGAGCGCCCAAACGATAAAATTCTTCGGTCCAGTCTGCAATCGACTTACTACCTTGGCGGCATTGTTGGTATTGCTGGTCTAGTAGCTGTTCAAAGTTAGAAGGAAGGGAACGCTCACGCATAAGGCGTAGCATTCGTGGCCAGCTTTGAATTGGACGCTTTCCCAGGCGATGGCGATTAATCTCTAACTAGTCCCACCAAGCCAAAGCACCTGATTGCAATTTAAAAACAACTAACCTGACCTTCTTATCTTCTGATGTGTTGGTGTAGTCAAAAATTAGGCGAAAAATTTTAGACGTTCTTGACCCAATCCAAGAATGCTTCCACATTCATTTTCCCATTGAAAGTAGGTAAGTCAATCTTCATTCGAAAATCAGTACGAATCCCATCCCTATTTTGGTGATCATCTCAATCAAACTGAGGATTTTCGCGAAAGAAGTCGTCTTCCTCACCAGATGAATTTGAATCTTGAATCCTTAGCTGCAATTCATGATTCCTTCGTCCACGATCTTCCAAATTTCTTGCCACCACTGGTGTATGTGATCGGTTTCTTGGTCATTCTTGATGCCGCTCTCCACAATTTGCGTCGCCCCGATTACCCAGACCCAACCACAGACGTTCTTGCTCCACAGAGATCAACTCTAGTTGCTCATGGATATTCTATACACTCGCGTGAACCTCCCCCAAAGGATCTTCCACCAACAGCAAGCGATTAGTGGTTGATTTAGGGGATAGAGCTTGAATTGTCAAAGGATCCCCCACGAGTCCCTTACTTGAAGCTGCTGTGTTCTTCCCAACCATCATGTCCTAAAATTCGTCAGCCATCATGTCCTAAAATTCGTTTTAGGGCTCTGATACCAAAGTTGGTGTAGAACAAACGAAACGAAACTAGAAATCTTATTCATGAATGAAGACATAACAAAGGGCAGCATTTTAATAAGCTACCAACCCAACTAACCAATAACCAATTTTGGCCTAACAGCTAACTAACAGAGGTTAGATAACAAAGGGGCTAACGGCTAGAAAAGGCTACTAACGGCTACATCACTTTTTAAGGGTGATAGGTTGTGTATACCTCATACTTCCTTAAGGGAAACATTGATTAAAGACTTACATGGCGGAGGATTAGCTCGACACATTGGACCGGACAAAACATTTGAGCTTGTGGCAAACCGTTTCTTTTGGCCACAATTACAAAGAGAAGTTAACAACTTTGTCACTAGGTGTCTCATTTGTCAAAAAGCCAAAGGACACTCTCAAAATATCGGGTTACTCCCCTACCAGTTCCCGAATCCATTTGGGAGGACCTCTCAATGGATTTTATACTTGGATTACCTAAAACTCAAAGGGGAAATGATTCAGTGCTAGAGGTAGTGGATAGATTTAGTAAAATGTCTCATTTTCTTCCTTGTAAGAAAACTTTTGATGCTACGTACATTGCTAATCTATTTTTTCGTGATATTGTCCCATTACATGGTATTCCCAAAAATATTGTCTTTGACCGTGACGTGAAATTTTTGAGTTACTTTTGGAAAACACTATGGAAAAAGTTTAATACAAGACTCAAGTTAGTACAACCACCCACCCTCAAACTGACAGTCAAACAGAGGTGACTAGTCGGACTTTGGGAAACTTAATTAGGTGCCTTGGTAACAATAAGCCAAAAGAGTGGGATCTCACTCTAGCACAAGATGAGTTTGCCTACAATCACATGTGGAATAGTTCCACAAGGAAGTCCCCCTTCGAAATTGTTTATACCAAATTACCTAGATTAATAGTTGATCTTGCTAACATCCCTTCTTCTGTTGATATTAGTGAGGAAGCATAACAAATGGCTGAAAGAATCGTGGACCTACACAAGGAGGTTATTGACAACTTAACTCAAGCTGCAGCAACATACAAAGATAGTGCAGATTCTTATCGAAGGGCAAAGAAATTTGAAGTGGCCACCTAGTGATGGTCCATCTAAAGAAATCCCACTTCCCTAAAGACACCTACAATAAGCTGCAAGATAAAAAGATCGGACCGTTTGAAATACTGAAGAAGTATGGAGATAATGCTTTTCGAGTTAACCTTCCAGACCACCTATGTATACATCCGATCTTCAACATTTCAGACATCTTCGAATACAAAGCTCCAAACACTTTTCAGCTAGCTACTTAACTTGAGGACGAGTTTGGTTTAAAAGGGGAGGGAATTTGATGTATCATTCGAATTGACTATTCTTTATTTTTTGTTTTCATTGTATAGTTTTAAGTTTGTTGATTTTGTTAGTTAGTTAGTTAGTTAGGTAAATCTTTCAGTTGGTTAGTTCAAGCTAATTCCCTAGCCTTCGCTCGGGTTATCAACCTTATGAAAGGAGCCATTTTCCCTTGTTTTTCCATTCATTGAAAGATTAATACAATGTCCTATTTGGTATTACACCAGCAAAGTAAAAACTTAAGGAGAAAAATAAGATAAAGGTTGTGGAGGGAGGAAGAGTTTAGGAGAAAAAGAGAAAATGACAATGAAAACGAAACTATGGAATTTGGGAGAAGACTAGAATGAAAATGAAGGCGCTGAGGAACTAAAACCCTAAATAAACGTAAAAGTTAGAATAAAATTTTTTAAAAAATAGTATTTCAAGAAAATAATAATGAAAAACAAAAATTTTAAGTTTAAATTTAAATTTAAAGACATTTAGTATTTCGAAAAAATCATAATTAAAAGAAATTATTTAATTTGAAGACATTTAGTCTTTTGATAAAAATAATATTAAAATAATAAAAATAAAAACCTGCAAATCTGTGGCACAGTGGTAGCAAGCCTGACTCCATATCAGAAGGTTGCGTGTTTGATTCACGTCAGGTTCAAAATAATAACAAAAATAAAAAAGGTCAAAGCCTAAAACTTTAGGCTGTTAGCCGTCAGCCATCGTTACATCAAGTCGTGACTTGACAGTGACTCAAGTTTTTTTATTTATAAAAGGTCTAATCTAGCTACTTAAAAAGATAAAGCATTAATATATTTATATTTACCATAAGTGGTTCGCTTTGGTTCAGTTTTGGGATTTGATTTTCAACCCTCAAACCAAAACCGAACCAAATAATTTGGTTTTAGAATTTTAAAGAACCAAACCGAACCGAGAAACTGCAAAAACCGATTTATTGGGTTGATTCGATTCGGTTTTGTCGGTTTGGTTGTGCACCCCTATTTCATCGCATCAATGAAATATTTGTTTATCATGAATATAATAATAATAATAAATAATAATAAGGTAGCTAGTGGAGAATGAATATTTATAGGGCTAGAGCCCACCATTGAAGGATGGGTAATAAGACTTAGAAGGAAGTAGGATGGTTGTCCATCATGGTGATAGTGAGAACATTCTCAACCACTCAGTTGAATAAAAAATATTAGTTGTGCTCGAGTAAAAATCCTACATGGGTCAAGAGATTGCTCAAGACACGGCATTGGATATGTTGTATGATCTCTGGAATTAGGTAGATGTGTGTTATCATATTTGAGTCAATGTGACACCAACTAGATATAACCCCAAGGCAAAATGTCTTTATCTCTTCATATATTTAGTTAAATATAAAATTGCAAAAACCACCCTAAACTAAGGAGTTGTTACATCTCATAGTTTCAGTTGGAGCATTTAGAATTTTTGTCCTCTGATGCTTTAAAATATGATTTCACGGAGAACCAACCCAATGGCTCCAATTTCCAGCATCTTCTGGCTTCCCTTCTTGAAAGAGATTTTCCTTTTAATGATTCCAGCAGGCTGCAATATTCAGTAGCTTCCTCGTCTTGTAAGCCTCTTCTAACACAAACTTTCCTGGATAGAGTTTGTGTAGAAGTTGACCAAGTAATGCTCACCAAATTCTTTGCTAGTTCAGACGGTGTCCTTAATCAACTACTTTGATACCAAAATTGGTGCAAAAGACTAAAAGCACATTTTGTTTACTGGAAATATTGTAAGCTTAAGCCCAAATAACCCATTCAACTAGTAAGGTCAATAACATATTGACAGTTAATACTAAACCCAACAACCCTATTCGGTAAAAGTGTGTGCCAAATGCAATAATCCATTATGAACAAAAACAAACCCTAGCGCTAAATTGATAAACCGTCTACATCATATAAGAAATAAGTCAATGAGGTTATTTATTATATCGCCATACTTACCGTATCTTCCTGAGTAGAAACACTAAAATGTACACCACTAATGAGACCAGATGGAATTTGTAGCTCGCTGTCCTGTTCATCTTCCATGTGTATCATTACCTGGTTCATTTGAAATAAATTAAATAAGTATATAGCATCTAAATCATCAAAGAAAAACATGAACAGATGTTGATCACAAACCCAAAAGAAAATTAATGAAAGCTTGTCCATAACTTTTTTCCCTTGTTTGACAAGAAAGAACCACATTGGACAAAAAGAACATGCATGGAAAGGGGAGACTGGAAGTACAAGTAAAGCTTGAACTTTATGGAGATTAGGAAAAGAGCTCTTGCCACAACTAGAACTTAGTATTAAAATTAAAAGAAAAGAAAAGAAGGAAAATGGTACCCTTTGATGTTGAAAACCAAATAGAAAGGAAGGGACGCCTTGCCCCTTTGTCCTTTAGGCTGTCTTGTGTGGCGTTTTAGCCTTTTGAATGATAACTCCCTCCGGCTTCTTATCCAAAAAATGAAAAATAAAAGCCAAATAGATGAGTTAAGAAAGCTTGTGCAAGTATGTATATCAAAGCATTAAGGCATGCTGAAGACAAGCAGAGACAAGTGCCAAGCCCTCTGTAAACTCTTATTACTCTAGAAGCCTCTGGTAAATAGTGATAAAATTTAGATGAGAGAAATAGCTTAATACAATATAAGTTAAAGGGACTACTGAACTCGAGAACTACAGGCTCAAGACTCAACTGCTATATCCTCCAGAAAGTTATACCTTCTGGCCTGGTTGAAAGTCTCGGGCAGAACTCATACAACTTCTTCTCCCACCCAAGCCAGTTCAGCACCTGAAGAAATAAATAAGACAACATATTCATATTCATAATGGAATGCCAAAACGTTTAAAGCTTTTACAGTTTTACTACAATAAGGCAAAAAAAAAATATGTATGAAAAAGCTGATATATTAATATATCTGTGAAAAACTACAAACAAACAGTGCTTCTAATTTCAGCATTATGTCTAATTCACATGCATCATTCATTCGGTTCATACTGACGCTCTCTTAGTTATGTAATTTTAGTGTTACATGAAATATTCACCTATATTGGGCATTGTTTCTTACGTTGTGAAATTAGCATAGACCATAACATATGATTTATAAACCATGCTAACCATAAATGAAACTATGAAATACTAAATAAGCAAAAAACAAATATATATATGTGTGTGTGTGTGTGTGTGTGTGTGTGTGTGTGTGTGTGTGTTCACAGATTAAATTAGCATGACACCAGAAAGTTAGATGTGTGGCTTATTAAGTAAGCAGCGGGATCAAAACTACCATTGCAGAAGTGATTTATAGCACGTTTAGTTCAATAGACTATGGCAGACAAATTTATTTGACAAGATGGATCACCAACATATTCATTTATTAATATGCCCAGAAAAAGAAATCCTAGCATGCGATAGTGCTCCAAGATTAGAAGACCAGAAGTTGAAGGGATACAAAATGCACAACCCTTGTCCAACTTTATAATGCAGCACAAACGCCATGCTCACTCAATTAATATACATAATTATCTATTGTTTATAAATGAAAATATTGGCAACAAACAATTGAATGCCCTTAAATAGCCGTGTTAGGCAACAACCCCTCCATATAAGTCTTGAGCAGAAAGATCACAATAGATCAAATCAATACACTATGTGTCAAGACAAGCTGCTATGGCTTCAAATATTGTATCCTGAACTCATCCCTTAAGAGTTTTAGTAGAAAACAAAAAATGTATGTGTATGTTAACTCAGCACAAAGCATTAAAACGTAACAGCACTAATTATACACATAAAAATTAGCAGAAAAATGAGCATTAATGCATCAGCAACACTTCAACAACATTATATGAATCAACAGAACCACGAGATCCGATCCTGTATGGCTATACTAATGAAACACTTCAGTCCTTACCTCCATTAGAATGTTGATGAATAAAGAAACATAATCAGAATCATAAATGCCTCAAAATGCAAAACAAAAACTCTGCTTCCATTAGCTCGATGAACTCAACTGTTCATAAGCTAATCTAACAACAACTTACACATACCAACAAACACATACCAACAAATGGGCAAATGTTAACATTTGAGGAAAGACCATCACCCAAAGCTCCATTCTTAAAACCTGAAAACTCCATGATCAACATGCAATATACCCATCAAAGTTGACCTTCTAAAGAAAAAAAGCTCACAACACCCTCCTCTTATCAGCATTCCCAACGACCCCAAAAACCAAAAGCATGCAGAAAATCACCACAATCAACCAAAAACA